ATAAGGGTCATCAGCATAAAGAGAGACAAATGTCTCAAACCCAGTGACCACTACCTGTAGCCGCGCTAATAACCCATGCCGCTGACTGAGCGCATCTGCCACACGATTAGAAGAACCAGCCTGATGTTTAATGACAAAGTTGAACTACTGCAAAAAGGCAACCCATGATGCATGACGGGCAGATACAGACTCTTGGCTTGACAAATGCTTGAGGGCTTCATGATCACTGTATAAGACAAATTCTCGCTGAAACAGATAATGTCGCCAATGGCGAATGGCCTGAACAACAGCATAAAGCTCTGCGTCGTAAGTGCTATAACTCCCACGAGCCCCTGCCAACTTCTGACCGAAATAAGCTACTGGTTTTCCTTCCTGACTGAGGACAGCTCTGATACCCGATTTAGAGGCATCACAATGTAATGTAAAAGGTTTTGTGAAATCAGGCAACGTAAGTATTGGAGCTGAAGTCAGACGCTCCTTAATGATCAAAAATGTTTTCTCAACCTCGGGTGTCCACTGAAACTTACTCTTCTTCATGCAATCAGTAATAGTAGACATGATGGTGCTGAAGTGCTGAATAAATCGTCGATAAAACGACGCTAAGTTGTGGAAACTCTGCACATCAGAAACTGACTGTGGACGCGGCCACTGTCGAATCGCATCAACCTTAGCTGCATCCACCATTACCCCACTGGCTGACACAACATACCCCAAAAACAAAACACTATCGGTATAGAACACGCACTTCTTAGTGGCTGCAAAGAACTTCTCCTTGCGTAAAACAGTAAGGACTTCCCTTAGATTCACATCATGAGACTCCTCCGACCCACTGTACACCAATATGTCATCGGAGTATACAACAATGCATTTACCAATAAACGGTTGAAGTGCTTGGTTCATCACCCGCATGAACGTGCTCGGTGCATTGGATAGTCCAAACGGCATAACTAGCCACTCAAATAATCCCCCCGTGTCTTAAATGCTGTCTTCCACTCATCACCAGGACGGACTCTTATCTAATGGTAACCACTTTTCAAGTCCAGTTTGGTAAACACAGTTGCGCCGCCCAACTGATCAAGCAAGTCATCTAGCCTCGGTATCGAAAAGCGATAACGAACTGTTATTTTGTTGATGGCCCTGCTATCTATACACATCCGATAACTCCCATCTTTTTTTGGCACTAGGAGTGTGGGGACTGCACACGAGTTGAGGCTCTCTCTGATGTACCTTCTGCACCAACTCCTCTACTTGTCTCCTCAACTCCTCATGTTCCACTAGGCTCATTCGATAATGTGGGCGATTAGGCAATAACGCACCCGGTACCAAATCAATGTGATGTTGCATATCCCGCAAAGGTGGAAGACCCTGTGGAAGGTCATCCGAAAACACATCATAAAACTAAAACACCAAGGCGGCAGCTTTGGGATGAAGACCCGTCCCCTCGGCTACCATAGGAACTGTCGACATTCCTATCGCTTCAGTTCCCACTACAACAGTACAACACCTTCTGCCAGCATCTCACGCACAAACAAAGATCGAAAAAGTAGATTACTACTGTCCCCTGCCGAAGATAGACACTGCGTATCTTTGGAGGGTAGTAGTACAATCTTTTTACTCGAAAAGGTGAATGTATATGCATTTCGACGCCCTTTATGGCACACATCCCTATCAAATTGCCATGGACGACCCAACAACAAATGACACGCATCCATCGGCACCACATCACACCAAACACTATCACGATACGCATTGCCAATAGAAAAAGATACCAACACACGGCTAGTAATACAAACTTCATTACCTCATCTCAACCATGCTAGGCTATAGGGAGCAGGATGAGGTTCGGTGCTTAACTGCAGCTTCTGCATGGTCGCTTCAGATATCACATTTTCGCAACTGCCTGAATCAATGATGAACCTACACACCTTTCCTCCAATGGTACACGTAGACAGAAAGATATTGTTTCGCTGCAGGTCCTCAGACGACCCCTTAGGCGTAAGGCACGCCTATCGGACCACCAAAAGAGGCCCCGTGTCATCTGTATGCACAATTTCATCCTCTTTTTCTTCATTCTCCACATGAACAGGATCGTTAACATCGGCTTGTATTGTCCCTCCAATGAACAAACCTAGGCGTGGCTGCCCATGAGATGGATAGTCCTTCCTCAAATGACCAAAACCACCACAACCAAAACACTGACTTCCACGCCCTCGTCCACCAGGAGGAGCCCAGCCACCCGGATTAGCGGTTGGAGGAACCACTGGCCGAGTGTTCCGATTAACGCCCTGACCCCCAGATGTAAAGGATTGGGACGGACCAGATGTGGGATTTGGGGCGAATTGTCGACCCCCACCTCCAGAAGGAACACTAGAAATGCCTACTACAGAACGACGTTGTTATTGATTTTCGGTCTGAAGTGCTCGCTGGTGAGCCTCAGAAACAGATACCGGTGAGAACATATTTAGGACGTCTTGCAAATTCAATCGTAGTCCACCAATATAACGCGCTACAAACTAGTCTTCTGATTCTCCCACATCATTTCGCGCTATCAATTGCTAAAACTCTGTGGAATAAACATCTACAAATCGATTGCCTTGTCTCAAATTCTGTAAGCGCTGATACAAAGTCCTGAAATAATTAAAGGGAAGAAACACTGCCTTCAACTGTTTCTTCATTTTTTCCCACGACTGGATTTTCGCCTTACCCTGACGGATCCGATTTTGCTTCAGTTGCTGCCACCACGCAGCAGCACGACCACGCAGACGAGTCGCTACCAAAGGTACCCTTTTATTGTCGAGCACTTCTTTGTAATCCAAGATCTCCTCTACTGCCGCCAGCCAATCGAGGAATTCATCTGCCTCAATTCCACCGTGAAATTCAGGTATATCAACCTTGAATCCGGATTCCCATCGCTGAAACGCGTCCTGCTGCTGCACACGAGGCTGTTGAACATGATCACCACGTGCCTCTGACAGGTCTCCTCATCCGACCTCTCCCCTGATTCAGATCCACCTCCACCATCACTCACTGGGGCACGACGTGGAGGAGCAGGAGGTGTTCCGTTATGCACAATCTATGTCGCCCACGTCATGAATTGATCAAATCGGATTGTCAACGCCTCAACTTGATTACGCAGATCTGCAACTTCATCACCACGACCACGACCACCACCACCACCACCACATCCTCTCCCATTTACCATGCTCTAATACCAAAATGATGTAGATTGAATCTACAAACACACGACAACAATAACCAAATTGATTGAATTCAGAAACAAACTTTTATTATTTCGTGAACAACCAAGAAAACCCTAGGAGACGTCTTGCAGCATCTTAAATATGAAAGAAAAGATAAACTACTGGGCCAGCAGTCCTAAAATGGGCTGGGCTACAAAATGGAAATAAAAAATGTTGAAAATAAATAACACAAAAACTTAAAATGCTGTTTTGACACACTAAACGACTTCAAATGCCCAAAAACCCTCGTACGTCATACCTTTCCGAATTGGGGTTATGGGCCCAAAACGGACACCAAACGCAAAAGTTACATCAATGTCTTTGAAAGCCGACCATCCAACCGTTCCATGTATGCCAATGCCTGTTCCTCCATATAAACCTCATCGCTATTGCTGTGTATAACCTTTTGCAATAAGGCGTGCTTTATGTCTTTCAATTGATGCATCTGATTTATACTTGATCTTGTACATCCATTGGAAGCTAACATAATATTTACCGCGTGGTAAAGAAACATTAGACCATGTATGATTGAGTTCAATAACATCTAGCTCAAGCTTCATAGCTAAACGCATTTGAGGATATTTTACAGCTTGGTGATAAAACTGTGATTCAAACTATGATGACACATTCAATATCAAATGTCTGTGACTGGGGGACAAATTGTCATATGACACAAAATGGCCAATGTTATGATCTAATTGGTAAGGAAGGTGGGAATTTTGAGAAATCATGTTGCAATGAAAATCTCTTAAGATATGTAGAAGGCTTAACAATTCTTTGTGACTTTCTGACATCAGTTACCATATGAAATGGAAATATCTCTTCATGAAATATGACATCCCGTGATAGGAATTTTTGTTTCGAAGCCACATCATAGAGTTTATAACCTTTAACCCCAGGTAGATATCCCCCAAAAAAAAAAAAAACACATAATCTAGCATGTGGTTGAAATTTATTTCTATGAGTAGACAAGGTGGAAGCAAATGCCAAACAACCAAATACTCTAAAGTGCAGTGTAGTCTGCTGATTTATTGTACAAGGCATCATAAGGTATTTTGAGTCTCAAGAGAGGAGATAGAGTTCTATTGACTGGAAAGGTGGCAGCAAACACACAATCACCAGAACATGATTGGAAATATAGAGCTGATTGGAAATATAGAGCTATTGTTACATTTAAAAGATGCTAATGTTTGCGCTCCATGACAGAATTTTGTCATGGTCTTTCAACACAGTTGGATTGATGTATAGTCCTTCTTTCAGCAAAGAATTCAATGAATGCCAATTCATGAGCATTATTTGATCTGAATATCTTAATTTTGGCATTGAATTAAGTTGTCACCAAATTGAAGAATCATGGAATAACATTTGCTGCATCTGACTTATGTTTTAAAAGATAGATCCATATAAATCTTGAGATCATCAAATAAAGTCAAGAAGAATCTATGTCCCGTATGTGATGTAACTTGATAAGGCCCCCCAAATGTCACAATATGTAAGATTAAATAGACGATTTGAAAAATGATTATTTGAATCAAAAGATAAGGGGGCACTCCCTTTGCCATTTTCCAGTCGTTTTTCTGTTTTTAGTTTTCAAAAATGTCCAAAACGTGTTTGACACGCCATTTCCGAAAATACATTTTCGAAAACAAGGAAAAATTTATAACTAAAAATGGAAAACGATTTTTTTCTTCTTCATTTTGGGTGTTTTTAGTTGAAAATGCTCAAAATGCCCAAAACACTAAAAACGCGCTATAGTAAAATTCTAATTAATATAACAGAAGTTTGCCCTTTTCTCACGAATCCTCTCTCCTCTCTCACTTTACTCAACGCCTTCTCCAATCAGCTCACACGACGATGTCCTCCGTCTAACAACATCCTCCACTCGGACGAGGTCCTACAATCTGGCGAGCAGGTACGTAATCTTCCTCAAAACTTGCTTGGAAACCTTTTTTTTTTTTTTTTGGTTTTTAGTTGCATCTTGTTCTTGCTTTTACATTTTCTTGATTTTGCTGGTTTTTATTGGTAATAATCTAATTTAAATAAAAAAGTGGATGCTAGATACTGAAATCAGAATCAAGAAGGGTTTTCGCCCAACTTAAATATCCATTTCTAAATATCCATTTCTTGTATCTTGCAATGAACTGTGAGTGCCACAAAAATTATGAGATTTGTGTGTGAAAAATTATTGAGTTCATCTGATTTTTTTCTGAGATTTGTGTTTGAGACACTGAAGTGTACAGAAAATAATGATAGCCTGTTTGGCAGTGATTTTGAGAATTAATTTTTTGACTGTTAGGAGAAAAGTGGAGTCCACATGTGAGAGAAGAAATCAAATATGACGACTGGAATAGTAACATAACGATCAAAAAATCAATTTTTTGAGCCAAAAAATCACTTCCAAATAGGTTATGAATTGGCTTTTAATTTTACTATTCTTGTGATAATTTTAGAATGTTCCTCAAATCAGAAAAAATGGGAAAAAACTCTAGGACAGTCACTCGGTTGAAGCACTATAGTTGCAAAAGTGCTTAGAAGTAGTCCAAATTTTCATTGTTATTCAAAATGCAGTGCGTAAATTTTTTGAACTATGTCCGTAACAGAAAAGCAGTATGTGGTCTAGATTTTTTTGCCCTTGAGACTGATGCATGCTCACCTTCGAATTACCTATGAAATATATCTCCTTCAAAATTAATCAAATGAGGCCAAGAAAATGAGAAGGACAAACAAAAAAGTTTGTACCTCCAAATCTCTCCTTCCCTTATTAGAATGAGTGTCCTTTGGAAGCAAATAGCAATTTGGTGGTGTCAATTGCTGGTTTGTGATACATGACTTGGACATTTTGGGTTTTGAATTTTGGTTGTTTTAGGTGGTGGCAAGTCATAAGGATCTTTTGCGAAATGGTTACTTAGCCAGAGAAGCGACTTGTGAGTGTTTAATCATAGTTGGAAGGTGGAGGTGTTGATGCTAATCGATTGGTAAACAATTATGGAAAAGAGGAAAACATTTTGAGTTAATGCTAATATATTTCCATTAAAGTTAGTTTTGGGAAATTAAGTTCAATAGATGGAACCCATCTTTCAGCTTGGGCATCTGCATCAAGACAAACATCTTTTCATAGAAGGAAAACTAATATAACACAAAACGTGATGCTGACATGTGATTATAATATGAAATTCATATTTGTGTATTCTGGATGGGAAGGTACCGCTAATGATTCTCGAGTATTCATTGATACAATTACAAAAGAATCAAACAACTTTCCAATGCCACGAGGAGGTAGATCCTAATCAAAAGAAGTCGTCAAATATTTTTACAATATTTCAGTCTTAAATTATAATTCTTTTTTAGATCAATTTTATCTTGTTGACTTTGGCTATCCAAACATGCCCGAATTTCTTGCTCCTTATCGAGGCTGAAGATATCATTTGCGTGATTATAGAGGACGAGGAAGACCGCGTGTAAAGGAGGAGCGTGTCGAAACATTATTGAACGTTGCATTGGAGTATTAAAGGCAAGATTTCCCATTTTGAAGTTAAACGGAGACACATTCTTACTGCATGTTGCACAATACATAACTTTGTTCATCAGGAGCATGCTTTGAATAGACTTTTTGCTCAATATTCATCGGAGAATATGATATTTGAAGATGTGTCGGAATTGTGTGAAGATCGAGAAGTCGTACAATTTGATGCTAGTCAAACATCTCAAATGCGACAAGTCAAAGATCATATTGCTACACAAATGTGGAATGACTACTCAACGACTCATACATGATTCCATAGATTTATTTTATTGTTTAAATTCTAACCCCTTTTTTCCTCTTTTTTTTTTTTTTTTTTTAAACCGTTCACATTTAAGCTTGCAAACTTAGTTGACTTGATATTATATACTTGTTGCAGTCTCACCATTCATAATCACTTTTTATAATTCTCAATCCATATCATTTATTATTTTCCCTATTTTTTCAAGTTAAATTATTATTATTTTAGTGTTTTATTTTTTAAAATCCACAACATTTTTCAACTTCCATTATTTTTTTGATAAAAATTTGGAAGAATTATTATTTCCTTTTTTTACTAAATAATCAAATCAATGAATAAATGTCATAACACAATTTCTAAAAATTTATTATTTATTATTTTATTTTTGTAGCAAGAAAAAATAGTAAATTCACCAAGTTTAAAATATATATTATATGGTAATATATTAATATAAAATTATTATGTTTTACTAAATAATCAAATTAATTAAACGAATGTCATAAAACAATTTCTAAAAATTTTAAACCAAACGCATTTTCTAGTTTTCTATTTTGAGAAATCATTTTTCAAAATGATAAATCAAACATGTTTTCTGTAATTCCAAAATAGTCCCTCAATGCAGAAAACATTTTCTATTTTAAAAAATGAAAACAGAAAACGAAAACACAAGCCAACCGCACCCTAATATTTTCTATTTTGCAAGAGGACAAATGTAACAAGAAATGTTTTGATTGAACTTTGTAACATCATATAACAATTGATCCTTCAAACTATTCCATCTTTTAAAAGAAAGTTAACCAAGTGTATTGTGCCAACTATACACTTGAAACCGATTTCAGAATTTTGGTATCAAGGATCCTGTAATCGATCACCCCTGCCAGTCATCCTTTTTGTTTTAGCTTCCTAAATGATGAAATGATCATGAAAGAAACTAATGGTGAGTTATAATATAAGTTTTAGGGCACTAATAGACAACAAACTGAACTTGAATTAAGGCACAAATAGGATATCACATGGTATAATGTTTGAGATCAATTTGACATTACCACACAGCCTGACTGGGTTTGTGTGTGATTTGGCAAAGTAACAATGGAATTATCAATAATTCTCATTAACATGAAGGAAACAACGATGGAGTATACATGTCTAGTTGCATTCGAGTCTACTATCCAAATATGTTTGGATGAAAAAAAATAAGATTTACTATTATGGAGTAGCATATACCTACAGCATATGAAATGATGTTGTCGTGTTGATCAGAAGCAGCTATGTTTGAACTTTACTCCAAGTGAGTGGATAGCATGGTCATTGTTCAAGAAATTATTTCTTTCAATTTAAACCCCACCGCAAGTGTACAGTTCCTTAACAAGTAATAAAATAGACTATGAATCCATGTATTGATCCCACAAGGGTTGAATTAGTTCAAATCAACCTATTATGACCTTAACTGAAACACGAAAGTAGGATTTATGTGTTGTGATTTGACTAAGGAAAATGTGAACTATGATGCAATTAAGAATGAGAGAATTATATTTAATGCAAAATAACTTGGACACAATCTACGAGAATTTATGGAATTAATGAATTTACTAACGCACTAGGATCTCGAATTTTCAGGCAATACCCGTTCAATTTTCAATCATGTAAATTTGACACACAGTCCCACAAAAGATGAATCAATATTCCTATCTTAATTTAGTAATCTCTCTCGAGCAATGCCAAACCGATCCCAATATGTGATTCGACTATATCTCTATGGCGAATACTAACATACAGGGATGCATTATGATTTCATGAATATCCAACAATTCACACAAGGCATAGAGGTATATTTCTATCCCCTATCGGACCCTATGATGATTTATACTATGTCGAGCGTATTTTCCTTCTTTCGAATGCATAAAACAGGCCATCAAAATCATATAATTACGTGCACAATAACAATATGGAAATAAAAACGTAATAAATCATTCAATTCCGGAACATGCGTTTAAATATGTCAAATATCCAAATCAAAAATCAAACGTAGTATTATAAGGTTCATCGGTCTCCTAACAATAAAAAATCTAGCCTAACATGCTAAAAAGAAGAAAATACAAAAATAGTTGAAGAAACTTCATCACCCGAATCAAGTTTTAATCAAATCTTCACTTGGCGCGATGTTTTCCTTTTGTTCTCTCTTCGTTTTCTCCTTCAAAATCTCTCTTTTTCTTGTAAAAATGGTGTCCCCTTCGTTCAAATCGAGTTTTCGTTTATATAGGGCCCTAAAAAGATTGTTTCCATAAGAGTTTCGATGGAATAAGGAAACTACGGATTTGACCTAAAAAATGCTCTATGCGGTCGCATAGAGTAAAAGTTTTGTGACATTTAACTCTTGGTTTGCCTCTATGCGGCTGCATAGAGGGGTTGCATAGTGCTACCAACTATGTAAGAAGTTCATTTTGGTCTTTCTACTTGAATCCTTCACTTCTTGGCTTCTTTTCTTCATTCTTTCCATTCCATCGTTCCAAGATATCATCAATTGGCATTTGACTTAATCAATTTCTCGATTTGTTCATCGGGTCAACTTTTGGATAATTGCACCTTTTCCCTGAACTTTCACTTTGCGTCATTTTAGTCTCTTTTTGCGTCTTTTCTCTTAAATTTCACCATATTCATCGGTGTTCCCTACAATTCACAAATGTCACGAGATTAAATCACAATTCAATCATTTTGCTCGTCATTAAGTCCTGTTTGTGACCTAAATAAGTATGCAAAAACACACTTATTAGCCATCAACTATTGTTACTAGTTGGAATTCAAGTTCTAAACAAAATTTCCAAAGCCTGGCTGTTGGTCAAGTTGCTTATCTTCATTTTGGGAGATGAATGATGCAGAAATTATATTAACAGAGTTAAAGCCAGAAGTATTCTGGAAGTTGTCCCTTGATCTTGTCTTATAACCCGTTGGATATTCATGGATCTTATAAAATTTATCGATGGAATGATCATGAAAATTACAATAAGTACAATAAGGTCTCTCCTTGATAATTCAAGCATTTCCAAACCTTGAATTAGTGTTATAAGATCCAGAATTACCTACTACTTTGCTGTTATCAGTTTTTAAGGCAAAAGCAACAGTTCCATTCGAATCATTTCTGATAGCTATCTATGTAAGTTCCTCTAATTTTCTTCTTGAGATATTAAGGCAAAAACATTATTAATTTGAGGCAATTGATCCACAAGTAATATACGTCCTCTGACTTGAGAGAATGAGTCATTTAACCCCATGAGAAATGACATTATGTACTTCCTTTGATAATGATTATTCAATTCCTTCACACCGCTACAATTACATTTTCCAATGTTGCAATTAGTACGGTAATTACCTCCCCAATTGTTTTGTGTTTAGTAAAGTAAATACTGATATTACTTTGATCCTAAGCCAGATTCATCAGTTCTCTCCTCAATTGAAAAATGTACGGTCCACTTTTCTTTTGGAATCTATAATTCAGATCATTCGAGATCTCATATGCAGATTTAGCATACAGCGCACTATCAAAAAATTCCTTGGATATGGAATTCAAAATCCAGGAGATGACTATATTGTTGTTTCGAATCCAAAAATTGCTCAAATCAGAATTCGTACATTCAAGCTTGGATATGGTTCCATCAATGAACCCAAGTTTATTTTTCACAGATAACGCAATTGTCATTACCCGATTCCAGGAGGCATAGTTATCGCAGGTGAGCTACTAAGATACCAGGATTGATCCCGGACTATCTGAGTGGTGAAGAAAGTAAGGACTTGAAGGTTCATCAATGGCAGATTTGTTAATGGATGACTCCATTTGAGAATCAAATCAAAGAACAAATTAGTTGCATCTATGAAGGAATTTGCACTGATACCATATTAGATTCAGAATTGAAGTCTGAAGACTGAATTGTTCTTTCATTCAACTTACAGGAAATGAATTTACAACAGCTATGTAAATAGCATCAAAAAAGGCCAATTAGCCATCAGCTAACTGACTAACTAAAAGAATTAACTAACGAATACATATAAAGTTTATATCTACAGCTCTAATAAGTATAAATTTCGAACTCTGTCTATCTTCCTTTCGTGAAAAATAACGATGTTGATTCTAATCAATTTAATTAAAAAATGTCCAGGCAATGTTACAAAAAAAAGAAAAAATTATAATCCATCAATTAAAGAGTGTAGATGTTCATGTTCTTCTTAACCAATTCATCATTTATTAGATATGCTTCATCATTTTTCTTTTCTTTTTTTTGCATACTTGTAAAGCTGTATTCAAAATTGAAGATGAGCTCAATAGAGAATATGAGATATCGACTACATAAGTAAACATAGGAGGGCACACGTGGTGGGGCCTATGTTACGCTACAAAAGTCCAATTTAACGAGATAGCGGAGAGTTCTATGCAATGCTAGATAAATCATTACTACATTTTATATCAATAAGATCAACCCATTCAATAGAAATAAAAATGTAAAATTTAATTTTCTATTAAACTGCCTTTTATTATTATAATTAAGTCTAGTTTTGCTCTAAATTTCTAATATAAGGTAAGAAATATATAATCAATTCGATTGGATCATTATTAGACATATTTGTTCTATATTATGCAAAAAATAATATCATAATATGATACTTTAGAAATGCTTGATCCCAATTTTTTGAAAAAATAAATTTTGTAATAGTGCTTTTTGGAGAATGTATGTTTAAAAAGATATGTTGAGCTACAAAAGTCTGATGTATCACGTAAACAAAGAGTGGAAGTTCAACTCATCCGATAAGAGTTGAAATTGGAAAATTACATTTTCTACAAGAAATAATCCAATTAAGTTGATAAAACTAAGAGAATAGAGGAAGAATTGTGAAAAACTTCTGTATTCTGTGATAAATAAAACTGTATAAGAGCCTTCCTTTTATAGGTGAAGGAGGCAAGCACATAAAGTAAGTAATTAATGCTAATTATACAAATCATGCTCGATGGTGACCGTGTGGATGAGCCTTTATGAAGATATCAGCCAGCTGATCAGCCGAAGGAACTTACAAGAGGTGAAGTGTCCCTTCCTGAAGATGATGATGCACAAAATGACAGTCGATCTCAATGTGTTTTGTGCGTTCATGAAAGACATCATTATGAGCGATCTAGGTAGCACTATGATTGTCACAATAAAGTGGAGTG